CTCTAATCCCAGGACTCAGAGGTAGAGGCAAGGTGACCACAGATTCAAGGTTGATACATGTGAGTTAGAGACCAGAGAGAGAGAGAGAGAGAGAGAGAGAGAGAGAGAGAGAGAGGGAACCAACTTCAGGAAGTTTCCTTTATTCTCTTTATTTGACCTTGGACTTAGTATAAACTTAGAGTTCCCACATAGGGGAAAATGGTAAACGAGGCTCTCATTAGCTCTGTGGGATGTGTGAAGTCTTTGTTTGGTTGTTTGATACCTGCTACTTTTGAATGACATTTCGTAAGCTCGACTTCTCTGGGCTAATAGCACGGGCAGTAGCCAAGCCATCAGACTGTGTGGAGTTGGGCAATGTGGGCTTTGCAGTGTCAGCTCTCAGTGTGATCTTGGGTAGGGCCAAGCCTCAGTTTCTTTTTCTTTAGATGGAAAGCGTGTGGAGGAATGATAGTCTAGTCTTGGGAGTTAAATACAAGGATGCCTTAAGTGAAAGGACCTTGTCTTTTCAGGCCCACATTCACTCTGCAAATGCCTCCTACATGCCAAGCACTGTGCCTAGGGGCCCAGGGGCGGGGTGGGGGCGGGGATGCACTGAGGGTGGTCAGAATTCCTGCATGGAATTCACATTCTGTCGGGAGGGACGGGCAGTCATGGAATCACACAGATTTAAAATGGCAACTGGATAAGAGCAGGGTACACGATGCCTTGAGAGCGAACAGCAGGGGGATCTGACCTAGTCAGGGAGGCCAGAGAAAAGCTTTCCCTGAAGAAGCAACAACTGGGCTGAGATTTGAAGGGCGCACAGAAGTCAGCCAGGCAGAGGTGGGTGGGGAAGAGCTTTCTGGACGCGGAATAGGTCCCATGGTGTGAGGGATCATGGGATAGAGAAAAGGCTGGCTTGGCTGAAGCAGAGTGAGCGGGTGAGGGGGGGCGTGTGAGGAGAGGATGCTGGGAAAGCAGGAAGGTGTGCAGGCTCAGTTGGCCAAGTTAAGATGCTAACCCAGGGGTACTGGAGAAGAGTGGGGAGCCGAGACGTGACATGGTCACATCTGCATCTCCGAGTGATAATTTGGGTTACCGGAACAGCGAGATCAGTTAGGAGCCTCCTGCATATGTCCCAGCAGAAGGTGATGCTTGAGGTGCAGCTGGATTTGGTAGTGCTACTTTCTGCCACAAATACAGAAAATCTGGCTAACGGTGGTTTAAAATAGTGTGTTCCTTATCATATATAGGCCTGGAGAAAGGCAATCGCTTGTGTTGGTTCCATGGCGCGATGGTGTCAGGACTAACATCTCTGCGATGATCTAAGACTTTCTCTTGCGCTGAGCTAGATACCCTAGATCTGGCCATTGCTGTCTTATTCCAGCCAGAAACCAAGGGAGGAAGGATGGCACCAGCAAGCCCCACCCCTTGTCACAAAGGCAGACTTTTCCCCAGGAACCTCATATTATTGTGTATAAATCATTAACCACAATGGAATGGCCTGGCGTCATCACAAGGGAGCCTGGGAAGGGAAAGGAGTTTGGGAATCAGTCTTTGCCACACAGCCAACAGTGATTGGTGGGTCTGGAACTAAGGGGCTCGGCTATTTTTAGGAAACAGAATCCATAGGAAGTGGTGATGGATTGGACGATGAGGCCTCTCCTCACTTGCTAGTCCTTCCTATTCATTGTCTTTAGTAATGAGGTGGGGGCTGAGGGGAGAGACATGGGATCTGAAGCATACATAGTGCACAGGAGGAAGCCAGTTCATAATTCAGTCTTCCCTTTAAAACTGGGTGTGGTGGCCCATTGCATGTAATCCCCAGCACTCTAGAGGTGGAGGCAGGAGGATCAGAAAGTCAAGGTCCTTTCTGGCTGTGTAAGGAATTTAGAGCTGACTTGGGCTACAGGAGGTGAAATTTTCTTTTTTCCTTTAGGAAATACAGGAATGGAATATCCCCTTCAGTAACTTGTATTTAGCTGAAGGGTCTAGACCCCCAGATAAAGGCTTCTGGTGGGTTTTCTTTGAACACATGCGTAATCTCAACACTCAAGAGGCTGAGGAAAGAGGGCCTTCATGCTTGGGATACGTAGCGAAATCCTGTCTCAATAAAAAAAGGAAAAGAAAAAAGCATGGCCTGGGGAGACGGTTCAGTGTTAAGAGCCATAGTGCTCTGGCAGGGGACCCACGTTCAATTCCTGGCACCATGTGGGTGGCTCACAACCACCGGTAACTCCGGCCCCAGGGGGCTGAGCGGCATCTGGCCTCTGTGACCATCAGTACTCACATGTGAATACCCTACACAGACATACAACATACACATAATTGAAAATAACACATCTTTGAAAATGGAAAACAATGGACAAATAAAGGTGTTATGTTAGCGATTACACTGTGCAATCTTTGGGGGTTTAAATTTTAATTTTGTTATTTACCCATTTAGTGTGTGTGTATGTGTTCATGGGGGCATGCACAAATGCCATGAGCCACATGTGGAGGTCAGAGGTCAACTGTTGGGAATCTGTTTCTCCTTCCCTTTGTGGTCTCTTTGTGGGCCCCACTCAGGTTGTCAGGCTTGGCCACCAGTGCTTTTCTACACACCAAGCCATCTCACTGGCCCCAGTCTTCCAGGGTTTTAAAATGGTTTCATGTGCACTGCGTCATTTGATGTTCGCCGAAGTCCTGCGTGATGTGTGAGCGGGTGTTATTAAGTTTAGAAGGCCATACCATTTGTCTGATACCATAGACCTGGTCCTGGGGCTGTGTTTTATTGCTAGACAATTCTTTCCTGTTGAAGGGCATGGGTGCAAGGTGTCTGTCTGGAGAGGAGTCATTGTCCGAGACTAGAGCTAAAGGAACGTGGATTGGTGAGGCTGAGAATCAAGTTTGTGAAGAACTTGATGGCTGGCTGGATGGGGTGGCTCACACCTCTAATCTCAGCACTTAGTGGGTGGTTGCAGCCAGATCGAAGTTCAAGGTCATCTTTGACTATAGAAGGAGTCCTAGGGCTGGAGAGAAGGCTCAGTGGTTAAGACTGTTTGCTAGGCTCTGGGTTTGTTTCCCACACCCACACGGTAGCGCACAGTGATTTGCATCTCCAGTTCCAGGGGATTTGGCATCTTCTGACCTTGGCAGGCACCAGGCACACGGGTGATGCACAGACATGCATGATGGCAAAACACTCATGCACATAAAATAAATCCTAAGAAGCAAAACCAAAGCAGAACAAAGCAGTGTGATGGCAGCCCAGCAACTTGGTGGCAGCAGGTGTGGGAAGGTCGTGGGAGGGCCATCTGCAAACACCCAGCATCCGGGAGTTCAGTGTGAGGTTCCAGTTTGGTATGAATATAGGCAAGGTAAACGGGATGGCGCGAGGTTCAGCCAAAGTGGCCTTTGTGGTGTGAGTCTTGCGTCTATGTCCTTCTTGGGGCAGCAAAAGGAATATGCCACGGACAAAGGTCCAGGCTAGTCAAGCTCCACCCCAGGGGGGAATTGGTTCTCCAATGGTTTTCTATGAGAGCTTAAACCATCTTGGTCTGAACTCCCCTCTGTTATCCTAGCAAAAGGACAACGAAGAATTGCCATAGAGTCAGGCTCTTGGTATCATCAATAAGGTTACTCCCGTGTTCCTCTAGGCAAGATAGCCAATAGCTCCTTTGGTCCAGGCCCTGGAGCTGGGAGCTGCACACGTCTGAACCTTTACTCCCTAGAAGATTCCACCAACTTCCACAATCTTCTTTATTGTGTCACAGTCCTTGGGGCCAGGAAGTTCGTCCTGATGTCTGAGTGTGCCTCTTTCACTGTTATTAATCATGCCCACAGAGCTAGCTTTTCCTTCTGACATCTCTGTGTCTAATAATGGCTTCATTAGTCCTCCCAGTCAAGGCTGCCGCATATTTCAGAGTCGTTCTCTCTCTCTCTCTCTCTCTCTCTCTCTCTCCCTCCCTCCCTCCCTCCCTCCCTCTCTCTCTTTCTCTCTCTCTCTCTCTCTCTCTCCCTCTCTCCCTCTCTTCCTCTCTCCCAGTATTTGCCAAACCCTAACCACCTTCTGGAACTTTCCCAGACCACCCCTCAGAATTTGGTATTTGCATTCTTTGTCTACCTTGTACCCACTGTTTTCTGGGAATCACCCCACACCCACTTTCTCTAACCCATATTATACTTCAAATACATCTTTCTCCAGGAAGCCTTCCTTGACTGTTATCTTCTGAATCTGGTCTAGCTGTTAATTCAAGCTAGCCTAGCATTTTGTCCTCTCTCTTGGGCACAGACATTTCCTCATCTACTCATACAAACACCCACTTAGCATGGGCTCGAGTCAGAGATGGCCGGGGCCTATTTTTTTTGCCTTGCTGGAGACCGTGGCAGTTGGACGAGATGGAGACTGAAGCAAACAATTTCAATGGAGCATGTTCGCTGCTTCCTTGGGGGTACCCAGAGTGTCATAAAAGCCCAAATGAGAGGCATAACCCAGAATAAAGAGTACAGCAAGTCTCCATGGGAAGGTGAGGCTTCATATGAGTAAGTGTTAGCCGGGAGGAGAGCTTGTGGGAAGATGAGAGGCGATTCAAAGAGGAAGGAACAGCTTGTGCCAGAATATAGGAACCCAATAATTCTGTCCTTTGAGGCTTCAGACCCTTTAAGGACGGGGCCACTCTTAAATGACCTCAGTACACTTCCCATTTAGTCAGTCTTGCAGTAGGCGCTCTACAGATGTCTGTGGAATGCAGCCATCTTTAAGGGCAATGAAAATGCTCTAGCTCAACACCATAGACAGATCACACCGACACCTGCAATTGGAGGTAGTCCAACCTGTGAGTGCATTTGCATACATTTGCATAATGAAGCCAACTTCATTTCCCTGAGGGTCTGAAGCCTCTGCATCATGGGGTTTCCAACCAGTCCTGGTTTGGGGGGTTGGGAAAGAAAATTGTCAGGCCAGAGACCTGTCCTGAGGACTCCAGGAGAAACCTCATTCCTCCTCTAGTGTGACTGCTGCCTTCTTTCTTGTCTGTCAGGAGCCAGTGGTCCTGCGCCTGCTGAAGTTAGGATTCTACCTCGTGGTGGGGATCCTGACGTCAAGGATGGGACACCCCGGATGGTGAGTATTAGGGAATTTAGGAGATGGAGATTTATTCAGAGTCTCAAACCCAAATATTTGATTCGAAGTGACTCAGCCCATTTATTGGCTTTTCCATCTCCCCATGTTGAGCTCCATTTTCTCATGGTAAGTGTGGATAATGTCTACATGACAGGATTTTTTGTCGGCTTAGAGACAGTGAAGTGTGCAAAATGCCCCATGCATCACTAGTGTTAGGGAACTAGGAGGAGCTGAGCTGCGGGCAGGGTCTGGAAGAAGCCAGAGCAGAATGGGTGGGTGGGGGGGGTGTCGGTGTGGGGAGGAAGGGAGCTGGAGTTTTAGGAGGTGCTGCTGTCTGGAGTCTTTGAGGCTGTCCTCTCCTAGTCAGCAGATGGCCCAGGAGCTGGTCTGGGATGGGGGAGGGCTCCGTCTGCCAGATCCTCTGTCCCTGTCCCTCCTGCTGTCACCTCCTCCTGCCTGTAGCTCCTGTCCTGGCAGCTCCTGGAGTCCTGATGGGAGGCAATTCTTGCTGAGAGCTGACCTCTCCTGTCCTGTAGCCTTGGCAAGCCTGGGATGGGGGCCAGAAATATTGGTTCACAGTGGCTTCTCCACTGGCTCCTGGCTTCACTCTCCCACTGTTCCTGGGAGTAAGAACTCCTGGGTTCCGGTCTCAGTCTAGTGGTCACATGATGTCTGGTCTAACCAGTATTCCTTCTCTGGAGTCTTTCCTGCCTCCACAGTGCCCTCCATGGAGAGGGAGTGTGGCAAAGGGTGATGGCAAGGGGTGGGCTGTGGGGAGTGTCTGGAAGCCAGCAAAGGTAGAAGGAATCAACTCAGGTTTTCCTGCCTATGGAAGTCTCAAGGTGGAGGGGAGGGGTGTTAGGGAGTGGCATGGAGATGTGACTTGAAGTTAGTGTCATCTTCCATCATGGCGCTTGGGTGCTCTGTCTCCAAGGCCTGACATCGGCAGCAGAGGGTTGTGGGATAGCGTTGGGGCAGAGGGATGGCTGTGGATCAATTTGCTACAGCTTAGCGTGTTAAAAGCCAGTTCACCTAATGATGGGTTTCTTTGACTCTGTTGTATGTCTGCTTGGGTCTCCTTTTGTTTTTGATAATCTAAGGATATTTAAAAACCCATTTGGCTGAAAGCATTCCCTCTCGTGAATAAGTATTTATCAAATTTGCAGCACTGATGAATGATGGAATTATTTTGCGCCCTTGTCTCTTTGTCTGTTATGACTGTTTTAAGGACTTTTCAGTCCCTGTGTGGAGAGATAGTATAATTAATCACAATAAATTGGTATGCACTACCACCAGGGATGCCACAGTACCTAGTGAAAGGTGATTTTAGGTGAAGTGGCCTGTTGTTCAGTCCAAATCCTTTTTCTCCCTATTTTCTCAGGAGGTTCCTGGGGCCTGGCCCCCAACAATATGAAGAGCCTTTGCTGAGGCCATGAGGGGTTACCATGGCGACCGAGGCAGCCATCCCCGCCCAGCCCGCTTTGCTGACCAGCAGCATATGGACGTGGGCCCAGCTGCCAGGGCCCCGTACCTGCTGGGCTCCAGGGAGGCCTTCTCCACCGAGCCCCGCTTCTGTGCTCCAAGAGCTGGCCTGGGACACCTTTCTCCAGAAGGGCCCCTGAGCCTGAGTGAGGGCCCATCATCCGTAGGCCCTGAGGGAGGCCCAGGGGGGGTGGGGCCTGGGGGAGGCAGCAGTACCTTCCCCAGGATGTACCCCGGCCAGGGCCCCTTCGACACCTGTGAAGACTGTGTAGGCCACCCACAGGGCAAGGGTGCCACCCGCCTGCCTCCCACACTCCTGGATCAGTTTGAAAAGCAGTTACCAGTTCAACAAGATGGCTTCCACACACTCCCATACCAGCGAGGTCCAGCAGGGCCTGGGCCTGGACCTGGATCTGGCCCTGCCCCTGAAGCTCGCAGCGAGAGTCCTAGCCGCATCCGGCACCTGGTTCACTCTGTGCAGAAGCTCTTTGCCAAGTCCCACTCTCTGGAGGCACCCGGGAAGCGAGACTATAATGGGCCCAAGGCCGAGGGAAGAGGTGGCTCAGGGGGAGACAGCTACCCTGGCCCAGGCTCTGGAGGCCCTCACACCTCTCACCACCACCATCACCACCACCATCACCACCACCACCAGTCCCGGCATGGCAAACGGAGCAAGAGCAAGGACCGCAAGGGGGATGGGCGCCACCAGACCAAGGCCACAGGCTGGTGGAGCTCTGATGACAATTTGGACAGTGACAGTGGCTTTCTGGCGGGTGGGAGGCCCCCTGGAGAGCCTGGGGGTCCCTTCTGCCTGGACGCTCCAGACGGGTCCTACCGGGACTTGAGCTTCAAGGGCCGTTCGGGTGGGTCAGAAGGCCGCTGCCTTGCATGCACTGGCATGTCCATGTCACTGGATGGACAGTCGGTCAAGCGAAGTGCCTGGCATACCATGATGGTCAACCAGGGCCGGGACGGATACCCAGGGGCCGGGCCAGGCAAGGGGCTCCTGGGTCCAGAGACCAAGGCCAAAGCCAGGACTTATCACTATCTGCAGGTGAGGCTTGGTGGGGCAGGGAACCATATTCTGAGTCCTCACCAGTCTGGTCCACTGGGGAACAGTGGACATGGCTGGGTGGAATCCAGCTGTCCCTGTACTTGGAGGTCTTGAAGGCAGGAGGCTCTGCCTCTGTCATGCCTTGGGTCCCCTTTGGGGCTTTACTTTATTCATTTGTACAATGACAGGACTGTTCTAATTTGACCATGAATGCCAAGAGCAGGAAGATGTCTTGACCTTCTGATTAGGACAAGATGCGCTGACCTCTGTCTTCTGTTGTTGAAGGCAACGTGAGGTTAAGGCAGTGGATGGGGCAGAGTGGCGTTACCTAGAGTACTGCCTTGGAGCTTGGCAGCCGGAGAGAAGTTCATCCTGCCCCGAGCCCTCCCCTAGACCTTTTATACTCAAATCCAGTTGGTCCAGTTATTGGAATGTGAAAATGAGATTCCAGAACACGCCTCTCCTGGGAGCCGTCATTCTGGGCTATGGTGTGGTGGGACAGTCCAGGAAATGATGGGGGAGCCTGGAGGCATGCATGTTGGGGGTTTTCAAAGGCTGGTGACACAAAGGAGTGAATCCTGTTGTCCCTACAGGCAGGGCACAGTGATGGCTGTGGAGTTCTCCCATACAACCTTGTGGTCCCTTTGCCAAGGCTAGGAGCTCTGACCCCTTTTCTGGGGCTTTTGTTTTAGCTTCAGCCAAGCCATACTGATTTTGATTATTGTTTCTTTCACTTTTGGAGGAAAAATCGGTACAAGTTTTGGCGATCTGGCAGACTTAAGGGTATCTCCAAAGTCTGCATTTCTCCTAGGTTGTTTACCCACATTCGTTCATGATACAGTGATCAGGGTCCCTGCTGCCCGAGAGCTCACAGTAGCCCAGGGAGCAGATGGTAAGCTGTGTGACAGAAGAGAATCCTGAGTCTTGTGGGAACACAGAGGAGGCTCCTTGCTCACCTGTGGGTGGTGGCTAGGGCTGGCTGGGGGAAGCTTCTGTGCAGAATGGCTCCAGAGCTGAATCTCTGTGAGGAGCTGGAGTTAGTCAAGTGCAGATCGAAGGTGTTCCAGAAAGATCCTACAGCATGTCGGAAGGCATGGAGAGGTGAGCTTGCGTGAGCCTTTGGGGTGACGTTGGCCTTGCCTGTCAGTTGTACGCATGTTAGTACCCTCCTGGGGGAATCTCATGAAAGCCCAAGAGAGCAGATTGGACCGCAGGAAAAACAGGACTAGACATCTGGGATCTGAGCTGTGTGGGTCAGCTTCAGACAGCTCCCTCCTGGGTGGCAGGTGCCCCTCCTCCCCTGGCACCAGACCTGGTTACCGTTTTTGCTGCTCCTTGCTGCTTCTCCGGGGTTGGCCTGACCTCCCTGGGGGCTTTCTTTTTAACATGCTCCTCACAGTATCCTGCGGAGGAGCAAGGAGCTCCGCAGTGGCCGTGGAGTGGGAGCGCTGCAGTGTGGCAGTGCGCGCCCTGGCTGTCCCATTCGCTGGCCTCCAGCCACTCCTCTCTAGAGGATGGGGGCGGGGATGGCACTCAGAGCCTGGGGTTCCAGAGCATCTTAACAGGATGGGGCTTGGGTGGGGGCTTGAGCCCATTTGTGGGTGAACTGAAGGCTGCGTGGACCTTTCCAAAACAGCCTATACTTTCCTGGCACAGAAGTGGGGGATGGGGGAGGTGGCTCCCTGACTGTGTGACCCGACCTGGTGTCTTCATTGGGATATTACCTCCTCTTTTTTTCTTTTTCTTTTTAAGATAGGGTCTCATGTATCCCAGGGTGGCCTCCAACTGACTGTCTAGCCCGAGTTGTCTCCATCTGCCTCCACCTACAGCGAGCAGTAGCCACACCCAGCTTCCTGCCCCGTTAACAAAGCCCGGTTTCTCTCACTGGATACTCTGAGTCTTTTCTGGATCCCCCGCTTCCCCCTCAGCTTCATTCATTTCTTTTCTGCTCCCATCTTCCTTCTGATGGAGCTCTGGCCGCTCAGTGAGCCCGCTCCCTTATGAGAGAGTATCACCCTGCACCTTCAGCCTTCCCGTGAGTCCCCCCATCCCCTCAGCCTTGCTCCTCTTGGAGCCTCCAGACCCGCCCTGTTTAACCGCTTCCGTCTACCTTACGCTTTACATCCCTGCTGCCTCCCCAGCCTTCTCTCCTTATATCTCATCTTCACAGCCTAGGTGACCATCATGGACTCCAACCCCTGCCGGGTTGGTCCCTCCCTTCTCCACCAGGGCTCCTCAGCCCCTTCATCCCTCTGCTGCCCCTGTTGTTAGAGACGTTCTTGACTGGCTCTCTTGAAAATGCGCCCACAGCTGCTTTGATCCTGAGACATTTCTCCAGACCCTCGCCCCCTACCACGTCCTGTCATCCCTGTCTACAGTCCGTAGAGTGTAGATTTCTCTCCTCGCTTCCCTTCAGTTTCCAGCGCAGTCAGATTTCCACACCCTGCCTCGAAAGTGCCCTGGGTCGCGGTCACCAGTGGTCTTTGGACCGCAGCGCCCAACAGTGCCTTCAATGCCTGTAATAATAGCCACCATTTACTGAGTGGTTCCCGTGCGCTAGGCGTTTTGTTGCTTGTTTATCCTTCCCACCAACCATTCTGATGCAGGTATAATTACTTTTACCAATTTACCGACCGGGAAACTGATACTTGGCGCTTATAATTAGCTTAGCTCAAGTTCACCTAGCTAGCAAGCGCCAGGGCAAGCCTTTGCACCGGGTCTCCTAACTCCAGAGCACAAGTTACTCACCTCGGAGAGCACTGTGGCATTTGACATAATTGACTCCTTTTCTTCCCGAAATGTCTCGTTTCTGTGACATGGCATTCTCCCGACTCCCTCCTACCCCTCTGCCCACTCCTTCTCAGGTGATGTCACGGTCCCCCTTTCCTTTCTTTGCAGTCCTTTTTAAAATGCCAGTGGGTCTATCCGCAGCCCCTTACCTCTTCTCCCCCCCCCCTGGGGGGGGTCTCCTTTACTCCTGGGCATCTGGCTGCCACCCTTGCTCTCTGCATGTCTGCCTCTAGCCCACCTCCCCCAGCAAAGCCCAAGACTAAGCATAACAAACACCTCAGTTCTAGGCCAGACTCAGGGTACTCAACACTGAACCCGTCACCCCTTTGTCCCAAATGAGTTCTGCGGCTCAGAGAAGGACAGTACTCCCACTCCCGGGTCCTTAGCCGTCACCCTTCTCAGTCATCATGGGCTCCTCTCGGCTCCTCTTCCTTCCCCCGCTAATCAGGCTCACTGATGCTCCTCACCACCTCTCTACAGCGTCCTCCTCTCCTCCTCTCCCCCTTATTCTCATTGTCTTCATTTAGGCCGCATCATCCCTTGCCTGCATAACAGCCTCAGCCGCCTAATTAGCTTCCCTCCTGCCACTTGAGCTTCTGCCTGGGCCCTGATCTCCTGACCATGTAGCCTCGGTCTAGACCGCGGAAACTGCCTAGACTCTCCCTGCCTAATACCCTCTGTAGTTCCCTGAGGGCCGGGAGAGAGTCAGAGGATAGGGAGCGGAAACATGTTAACAGGATGAAGAGGAGAGGTGAAAGGTGACCTAGGTCAGGTGATGCTGGACATAGGGGGAGATGATTGACAGGCCACTCAGGCCTCCGGGCTTCGATGTCTTGGCATCCGATCTGACACTCATAGGCTCTTTAGCTGACCTTCTGCTGAGTGGCTAAAGGTCTCTGGAGGATGATGTGACAACTCCCACAAGGGAGAGGAACACCCTAAGACATCCCATCTAGGTGCTTTGTGATACTCTTCAGTGTAACTTGTTCCCCCAGCAGGACGGAGCGCCTCCTGCTGGCGGTGGGAGGAAGAACACCCTCTCCTCTGAGCTGGAGGATGACTTGTCTGAGAGGTAGAGGCCCTTGTCCTTTCAGGTGCCGCAAGATGACTGGGGGGGTTACCCCACGGGTGGCAAGGATGGGGAGATACCCTGTCGCAGGATGCGGAGCGGCAGCTATATCAAAGCCATGGGGGATGAGGAGAGTGGAGACTCAGACGGTAGCCCCAAGACATCTCCCAAAGCACTCGCCCGACGCTTTGCCTCCCGCCGCTCTTCCAGCGTGGACACAGCCAGGATCAAGTAAGGACGGTGGGGGCGGGGGTGTTGGAGATGATTCTGGGTTCCTGCGGGAACTGTATGTCGTGGGTTTTGCATGGGTAGCCCTGCTTAGGGTTCAACAGACCAGCTTGCTCTGCTCCATATGGGGTGGAGTCCGTTTCTGTCTTAGTGTTTCTGTTGTGGGGGGGGAAGAGACCTTTTACCCTAAGTCTCCTGGGGAGTCTTTTTGTTGTTGGGGGGGGGGGGTTGTTAAGAGGATCAGAACCTAGTCAGAGGCTCTGATATTATCACGCCCCTCTCCCCCAGCACACTCCCGTTCTGACTCTGGCATCTGCTCTTTGCAGCTGCTGTGTCCCACCCCGGATCCATCCCCGGAGTTCCATCCCTGGCTACAGCCGTTCCCTCACCACTGGACAGGTAGGGGGTGGCCCTGTCTATTCGGAGGGAAGGGTAAGAAAGGGAAGTCAGCTCTGTGTTCTGTCTACACTACGATGTCAGTCTGTCCTTGGAGGGAAAGCAAGCCTGGTTCTAGGGAAACCTTGAAAGCTGCCTATGACTTCCAGAATTTCTTGGGGATCCCCAAGAACCCACCAAGTGTGGTCAAAGTGGTGAGTGTGCTGGGAAGGACAGCATCCTTTCTCTGTGGCTCTCGGACCCTCTCCAGGCTTCACTGCACCAGACTCATAAGTGAAAGGTACAGACAAGACAGGGGCAGAGCTGAAGTCTCCTAGGCTGTCTGGGTCTGAGTTCTGCTGCCACGACCTCCATTCCCTTGGACTACCTTCCCTTTCAGCGCCTCTGTTTCCTCTCGTCTTTGGGATGATAAGAGCAAACTAGAAATGCTGGCACACGCTTGTAATCCCAGCACTCTTGTAATCTTGGATCGTGAGTTCAAGGCCAACCCTGGCTACTAGTAAGACTCTAATCTCAAACAAAACCAAAGGACGGTGTTAGTGTAAGATAACTCTCAGGGGATTTGTGGAAATTCAGCAGAAAACATCATTCAAATGTGAGGTACTGGCTCCAAACTGATGTTTTATAAAATTGAGTTCCCAGGCTGGCGATGTAGCTCAGTTATCAAAGGGCTTGCCTAGCATGCACCAAGTCCTGGGTTCGATCCCCGTGCTGCATAAAACTGCATGTGGTGGCCCATGCCTGTCTCAGGAGTCAGATCGATAGTTTAGTTTAAGGTCATCCTCAGTTACCCATTCTGGGGTCCAGGAAACTCTCTCTCAAAATGAATAAAGTGGTTTCTATAAAGTGTGGGCCTTCTTTTTCATGAAATGGAGGCCGTGGTAGTTGATATTTGAGTGTAGGGGATAGGGTTGAATAGAGGCTGAACTACTTACCAGCCAAGTGACCTGGGGCAAGTTACATGACTTTTGAGCCCCTTCCTTCCCTCTTTAAAAATAGGCATCATAATAGCACTCTTGGCACATAGCCAGTGCTCAGTAAAGGTTAGCTATTTTTACAGTTTGCTGGGGGGGTGTGGAGAGAGAAATGCAAAAAGCCACGCAGAAGACCGTCCATCGGCTCCTATTGTGAGCCTCGCAGCCTCTCAGAACCCCTTCCTTTGTTCCGTTTCCTCAGTCGAATTCCCATTTGGCACAGCTGTCTCTCTGCATCAAGCCAGCCTCTGCTCCCAGTGCACTAGTTAATACCCAGTCTTCGTGTTCCTTGACGATCAGTGACATCTAACATAGTCGATGACCCTTCTTCCTGGGACACTTTTCTCTGGTGGCTTTTTGGGTGCCACGCCCCCTTCCCCTGACGAAGGCTAATTCTCAGTCTGCGTCTCAGGATGTCACCACTGGAGTTTTCTGGGGCTCTGTCCCTGCTCGGCTTTCAGCACCCAGTCCGTAGGTGACCTCATCCAGGCTTGTAGCTTTGAGTATTACTGAGAGCCTGTTGACTCCCAGATGCATAGCTCCAGAAGCCTCCCTGAGAGACCAGGCGTGTGCATGGAACCGTGTACTGGAACACACTTGGATGGCTGCTACAGACACCCCCAGTTCTCCTCCTCCTCAGAGCTATGCTCCATCCACTGCCATCTCCTTTTCAGATAATGGCAGGTTTGTTTTTCTAGGACTTTATGGTCCGAAAGTCTGAAGTCAGTCTTTTTTGGTCTTTCTTTCCTCCCTCCCTCCTTCCCTTCCTTCTTCCTTCCCTCCCTCTCTCCCTCCTTCCCTCTATTCCTTCCTTCCAGAGCTGTGATTGAACTCAGAGCCTTTCTCTTGTTGAGCACACACGCCATCACAGAGTTATACCCACAATCCATGAAGTCAGACTGTTCTGTCTGTTACATATGCCATCTCCTTTGGTCCCTCAGCCAATCCTGTTCACGGTATTTCTGGCCCCATCCACCCTTCACCAACTTCACTGCAAGTGTCCCCCTGTCTTGGTCAGGGCTGTTGCACTGCCTTCTTGTTGGTCTCTTGTGTTTGTCCTGACTCCAGCTCATTCTCTGTCAGTGTAGCCGGAACAATTATTTAAAAATCTCACGACAGCTATTTACCTTCCTGCTCAGAGCCCTCGCCTTGCTCAGAGTAGCTGCCTGGGGCTTACAGAGCCCTGTATGAGCCGGCTGGTGTTAACTCCTGTCCATCTTCCAGCACGTTCCCTTCCCTTCCTCCACCACACCTGCTCCCCAGACACGGGAGTTCGACTCCAGCCTTGGGACTTTAGCTTTTGTTCCTGCCTAGATGTCTCCTTCCCAGACGATCCCAGGAAACCTCTCTTCACTTTCTTTTATTCAGATCTCCTCCAACTGTTCTGAAATTTGAATCTAAACCTTCCAAACATTTCCTATTCCTCGCCTTCCTCCTCCCTCTCTCTTCCTCCCACTGTACATTATCTAACAGTGTATATACTTGGCATGTTTCTCCTGGAGGTGTGACTTAGAGCCTTTGCTTTACAGAAGAGGAGGGAGAGGCTTAAAGCACCAGAGATGCTGCCCTCTTATCTCTAATGATGCTTTTCCTCCTGGGTGGCTTTTTCTCTTTAGTATTTGCCTTGAACATCCCTTTCCGTCTTTGGCTTTAAAGCGTTTTCTCCCATATGTTTCAGGTAGGTCTTTTTAAATAGATTTGCTCTTACATCCATTCGGTAATTGCCTGAGAGTTTTTTGTACATTTATATTTATTGTGATTGCTGATAGGCTTGCATTTATTTCTATCATCTTACTTTGCGAGCTTTCCATTTATTCTGCTGCGGTATGGGAGTGCATGCTGGGGCGCATGTGTGGAGGTCAGGTGACGACGTGGAGGAAGAATTGGTTCTCTACTTTCACCATGTGGATCCCAGAGATTAAACTTCGGTTGTCAGGCTTGGTTGTAGCAAGCACCGTCACCAGCTGAGCCATCTTGTCTCGTTCTCTCCAGCTTTATATGATGCTTTTCTTCTTTCCCTTATGTCTGTCTGTTGGTCTGTTTTTCATTTGTGTTATGATAGGTTCTCACTGTGTAACGCCGGCTGGCTTATCATTGCTGTGTAGCCCAGGCTGGCTTTGAACTTGTGACCATCCTCCTGCCTCAGCCTCCTGAGCACTGATGACAGGTATGTCAGCACACCTAGCAGAGTTGGCGCTTTTCTCTTCCTTTGCTGCTGTCTTTGGATTGATTGAGTTTGCTTTATTCTTCTCTCTGCCAAATCCCACGCTGGTTTGACAGTTACATATTCCATTTTATTCTTTATGGTTACTCCTGTAATTTTAATGTGCAGACTTGACTTAGTCTGAAGCCGACAAGGTTTGCTACTCTCTCTCTGAATAATGCAGAGTCCTAAGGGGACTTTAATTTTGATGACCTCGTCCTTTTCTTTTTTAAGCAATAGAAATTCATTTGGGGACAGGAGAGTGGTTCTAGCTTGGCGACAGAATACCGGCCCAGCATAAATGAGGCCCCGGGTTCTCTCCCCAATGCCCACATGAAAACATTATTTTCCTGAAATTCTAGATGCTGAAAGCATAGTGTTAATAGGTCAGCTGCGGTGCTTTCCTCTGTTGAGGGACTTGGGTTTTCATCTTGGTTAAAGAAAAGGCATTTTAGTGTCGTCATTCTTTTTACATGTATTCACTTATTATCTGTTTGTTGTGTGTCTTTACCTGCGTGTGCGCTACGGCACACACCTGGAGGCCAGAGGACAGCTTGGGAGAGTCTGTTTGCTCTTTCTACTATGTGGGTGCTGAGGTCATCAGACTTAGTGGTGGCGATCACCTTTACCTGCTGGGCCACCTCACAGTGTGCACACTCAATCTCTCTCTCTCCTTTCAGTACCAGGGCCTTACACGTGCTGGAGCGTGCTGTACTGTTGCGTTATAGCCCCAGAATTCTTTTGTTTTTACTTTTTAGATTATATTTTTATTTTAGTGTGATGTGTGTGTGTCCCTGTCTTTCTCTGTGTGCATGTGGAGGTCAGAGGACAATTTACGGGAGTCAGTTCTTTCCAGAGACTGAACTCAAGTCCTTCACCTGCTGAGCCATTGCCAGCCCCCCAGAACTCTTTTAACTTTTTTTTAATAAATGGTTTTTTTTTTGTCATTGTTGTTGCTTGGTTTTTTTGAGACAGGGTTTCTCTGTGAAATCCTGGATGTCCTAGAACTAGCTTTATAGACCATGCTGGCTTTGCACTCACAGAAATCTGCCTGCCTCTGCCTCCTGTCTTTCTAAGTAGGTCTCGAAGTTACTATCCTCCTCCCTCAGCCTCTTGAGCAGTTGGTATGACAGTCCTGCACCACCAGGCCCTGATAAATCACGTTAAATTTAATGGAGGTATATTTTACGAAATTTTTTTCCAGAAAATTTGTTTTAATATTAAATGGAATCTTTGCTTAATCCAAGATCACAGCAAAATTAATGTCTCCTGCATTTTATTGTAGGCATATATATGGTCCATTTTGAGGGTGTTTGTTGGGGGAGGGCATGTGACATTTGATTTTCATCTTTCGAAGAGCCATATGAGGGTCTCACATAGCTCAGGCTGGTTTCAAATTCAGTTTGTAGCTGAGGATGATCTTGAACTTCTGATCCTCCTGCTTCTGCCTCTTGAGTGCTGGGGTGACAGATCTGTAGGGTTGGTTTTATGCAGTCCTGTGGATCGAGCCCTGGGTTTCATGCATGTTAGGAAGGCACTCTGCTGACTGAGTGGACTCCTGGGCCTTGGTCGTTTTTACACTATTACTCCTAAGGTGTGTATGCTCCTGTCGCCTGCCCTTTCCCGTGCCATTCTCACTTCCTAGATGAATTCCTTCCTCCTAAAGTGTGTTCTTTAGTTACTCCAGGGACTGTTGGTAGAAAGCTCTGGCTGGTTGATGTAATTTAGCTTATTAGGGGCATCCATGCTCACTGTTGCCCCGTGCGTCTCTGAGGCTTTGCTCATTCTATTCCATAGTGTCTTCCTCTCTACTCTTTGGATTGGAC